GGTGCATGGGTGGGGGCCGGCTGGTTTGCCCTGAAGGGTGTCCCGTTTCAGGGTAGGGGTCCCTGCTGGGGTGCCTGGCCAGCCTGGGTGAGGGGCTGATGGCTGTTTGCAGGCTGGCCAAGCCCCCCAGCGAGAACTCTCACCCCATGAGGGTGTGGCCATCCCGGGTGAGGGGCTGATGGCTGTTTGCATGCTGGCCACAGCCCCCAGCCACCCAAGCTCTCAGTGGAGGCTGGCTCGAAGCAGATATCTGGGATTTATTTATCTTCTATAATTGAAACTTTGTTGCCTTTTGCGGAGGCCACAGCCGGCTAGAGCAGGCGGAAAGCTTGGCTTCCTCCATCATCGGGGCAACCAAGCCTCCTGCTTGCTCCAGCTCCGTGGCTGCCGGCTGCCATCTTGGTTGGGTTAATTTGCATATAGTCACTCTGATTGGCTGGTGGGCGTGGCTTGGGTGTCACAAAGTTACAGTCAATTAGCATCTTTGTCTTTTATTAGTGTAGATGTCAGTTACATCTCAAGTACAAAAACTAAAAATAATTATTAAAAAAAGTTGATAAAACCCCAACTATACAGAGGTGGAGAAAAGTATGCTTGTATAAAAAAAGTCATTCAGGTTATGATTATTACAACAGCTTGACTAACTCAAAAGAATGCCATTACACTGTAAACCTACCTTGCCCACTTCCTATATAATAAAAGGGTAATATGCAAACTGACCCTAACAGCAGAACGACTGGGAATGACTAGTCACTATGACACACACTGACCACCAGGGGGCAGACGCACAATGCAGGAGCTGCCCCCTGGTGGTCAGTGTGCTCCCACAGGGGGAGCTCTGCTCAGCCACAAGTCAGGCTGATGGCTGCCAGCACAGTGGTGGTGGGGGTAGCCTCTCCCGCCTCCTTAGCAGCGCTAAGTATGTCCCACTGCAGCTTAGGTCTGCTCCCTGCTGTCAAGTGGACATCCCCCGAGGGCTCCCGGGCTGCCAGAGGGATGTTTGACTGCCAGCTTAGGCCCGATCCCCTGGGGAGCGGGCCTAAGCCAGCAGGTGGACATCCCCCGAGCGGTCTCAGACTGCAAGAGGACACAGGCTGGGCTGAGGGAACCCCCGAGTGCACAAATTTTTGTGCACCGGGCCTCTAGTTTGTATATAATCTACAAGAAACTCACTTTAAATTCAAAGACACAGATATATTTAAAGTAAAGGGATAGAACACAACAAGAAAATTATAGACCAACATCCTTAATAGATACTGATGCAAAAAACTCTCAAGGAAATACTAGCAAACCAAACTGAAGAACACATTGAAAGGATTATACACCATGACCAAATTTTATAACAACAATGTAAGAATTTATACCTGGAATGCAAAGATAGTTCTACATGCAAATCAATCAATATAATGTACCACATTAGCAATATGAAGAACAAAAACCACATGATCATCTTAACTGATACAAAAAAAGCATTTAATAAAATTCAATACTCTTTCATGGTAAGAGTGCTGAACAAACTAGGAACAAAATGAAACTGCCTCAATATAAAAGTTATATATGTTTTGCCAACATATTCATTGTCAAAACACTAAAAGCTTTCTAAGATCAGGAATAAGGTAAAGATGCTCGCCTACTCTTGCCACTACTACTCAACAACATAGTACTTGAAATCCTAGACAGAGCAATTACACAAGGAAAATAAATAATAAAGGTATCCAAATTGGAAAACAATTAGTAAAACTATCTCTGTTCACAGATGAGATGATCTTCTATGTAGAAAACACTAAATCATTTTTTAGAGCCTTTTAGAACTAAAATGATTTCAGCAAAGTTTCAGGATGAAAAATGAACACTTAAAAATTATTTGTATTCTATGCATTCACAATGACTAATCAAAAAGAAAGCAATCTCATTTACTATAGCAGCAAAAGGAATAAAATACTTAGGGAAAAACCTAGCCAAGGCAGTAAAAGGACTAGCACACTGGAAAGATAACCAAAGCTCATAGATTAGAAGACTTATTATCATTAAAATGTCCATACTACCCAAAGCCATCTACAGATACAATGTAATCCCTCTCAAAATCCAAATGACATTTTTTTTTGCAGTAACAGAAAAATAAAATTCTAAAATTTATATAGGATTTCAAAAAGCTTCAAATAGCCGAGAGAGAGAGAGAGAGAATTAGAGAGAGAGAGAGAGAGAGAGGAATTTTCAGTAAGAAAAATATCTAAAATAAATAATCTAAGTTTCTATCTTAGAAAACTGAAAAAGAACAAATTAGATCTAAAGTAATAAGAAAATAAATAATAAAATTGGAGATGAAATTGAAAACAGAAAATAGTAAAAAAAAACCAGGAAAATAAAAAGCTAGTTCTTTGATAAGATCAATAAAACTGATAAACCTCTAGCCAGTTTAACCAAGAGAGAAGACACAAATTACTAATAATCAAAGAGAGAACATCATCACAAATCTCATAGACATTAAAAGATTAATAAAAGATTATTACAAAGAATTCTGTACCCATAAATCTGACAATCTAGATTAAATGGACAAATTCCTTGAAAGACACAATTTACCAAAACACACACAAGGAGAAACAGATGATCTGAATAGGTTTCTATTAAAATTTTTTAATTAATTATTAATCATCTTCCAAAACAGAAAGCACCACACACAATTGGGTTCACTGGTGAATTCCACCAAACATTTAAGAAAGAAATGGTATTAATTCCCTAGTCTTTTCTAGAAGACAGAAGCACAGGAAATATCCCAACTCATTCTATGAGGCCAGCATTACCCTAATACCAACACCAGATAATGACATTTCAAAAAGAAAACCTACAGACCAATATCTCTTGTGAACATAGATGCAATAATCCTTAACAAAATATTAAATAATTAAATCCAGCAATGTATAAAAACAATTATACACCACAACCAAATGGGATTTATTCCAGGTATGCAAGACTGGCTCAACATTCAAAATCAATTAATATAATCCATCACAAGTGACTAAAGAATAAAAAATTATCTGATCATATCAATAGATATAGAAACAGTATTTGACAAAATTCAACATCAACTCATGATAAAAAAAAAACTCTTAGCCAACTAGGAATAGAGGACTATATCCTCAACATGATAAAGGAAATCTACAGTTAACATTATACTTAATGGGGATAAACTAGATATTTTCCTGCTAAGAACAGGAACAAGACAAGAAAATCTTTTCTCACCATTCCTATTCAACACTGTATTGGAGGTGAAGAGGATGGGGAGGGGGAGGGGAAGGGGGAGGGGAAGGGGAAAGGGAGGAATATAGATTTGGAGAAAAGAAATAAAACTATCTTTGTTCACAGATGACATAATTGTCTGTAAAAATACTCAAGGAATCAACACACACAAAAAAACCCTTCTGAAACAATTATAGCAAGGTTGCAGAATACAAGATTAAGGTACAAAAGTCAAATGCTTTCTTATACACCAGCAATTGACAACTGGAATTTGAAATTAAAAACAATACAATTACACAATTTATACTAGCATCCCTCAAAATAAAATACTTAGGTATAAATCAAACAAAATATGTACAAGATTTACATGAGGGAAACTATAAAACTCTGAGGAAAGAAATCAAAGATCTAAAAAAAACAATCACATATTTCATATACATGGACATGGAGACTCAATACTCTTAAGATGCCAGTTCTTCCTAACCTGATCTATAGATCCAACACATTTGAAATCCCAGCAAGTTATTTTATGAATATAAAATAGTCAACACAATACTGAAGAACAGTCAAAGGAGTGACATTAACTGACTTTAAGACATACTTATAGTATGGAGTTTCAAAAAATTAAAAATGGAACTCCCATTTGACCCAGTAATCCCACTTCTAAGAATATATCCCAAGAAAGCAGAAACACCAATCAGAAAGAATATATGCACCCCTATGTTCATAGCAGCACAATTTACAATAGCTAAGATTTAGAAACAGCCTAAGTGCCCATCAGCAGATGAGTGGATTAAAAAACTGTGGTACATCTACACACTGGAATACTACACTGCTGTGAAAAAGAAAGAACTCTTACCATTTGCAACAGGATGGATGGACCTGGAAAGCATTATGCTAAGCAAAATAAACCAGTTAGAGAAAGATAAATATTACAAGATCTCATTCATTTGTGGAATATAATGAAAAACATAAACTGATGAATAAAAATAGATCAAGAGACAGAGAAGCATCAAACAGACTGTCAAATCTCAGAGGGAAGGCAGGGGAGGATGTGTGTGTGGAGGGGTAGAGGGATGGATAAGAGATCAACCAAAAGACTAGTATGCAAGCATATAGCCTAATCAATGGACATAGACAGTAGGGGGGTGAGGGTATGTGCTGGGGGATGGGAGCGGCCAGGGAGAGGTCAATGGGGGGAAAAGGAGACATGTGTAATACTTTAAACAATAAAGAAATTAAGTTGATTTTAAAAAGAGAGAGAGAGGTTCACTTATAAACTACAATAAAAGATGATATGCCCTGACCAGTGGTTCAGTGGTTAGAGCATCGGCCAGAACATCCAAGGGTCAAAGGTTCGATTCCAGGTCAAAGGCACATACCTGGGTTGCAGGTTTGATCCTCCGCCCTGGTTGGGTTCGTGTGGGAGGCAACTGATCAATGTGTTTCTCTCACCTCTCTCTCTCTCTCTCTCTCTCTCTCTCTCTCTCTCTCTCTCTCTCCTCCCCTTACCCTCCCCTTCTGCTCTCTCTAAAAAAAAAAAAAATAGAAAGAAATCAATGAAAAAAAAATATCCTTGGGAAAGGATTAACAAAAATAAGAAAAATAAGATGATACGATGATATTGAAGAAAAACCAAACAAATAGATCACTGAAACAGAAAAGAGAGTCCAGAAATAGCCACCAAATATAACCAACAATTTTGACAAAGGAACAAAGACAGTGCAATGGAAAAAGAATGAGCTTTTCAACAAATAGTGCTAGTGCTTATTTCGGCAGCACATCTACTAAAATTGAAATGATACAGAGAAGACTACCATGGCCCCTCCACAAGGATGACACGAAAATTTGTGAAGTATTCCATATTAAAAAATAAACAAACAAACAAACAGTGCTTGAACAACTGGAGAGCCACAGCAAAGAAATGAATCTAGGCACATCAAAAATTAACCCCAAATGGATCACAGACCTATATGTAAAAAGCAAAACTATAAGACAGCAAGAAGATAACAGTAGAAAATCTAGGTGTTCTTGGGTTTGGCGATGACTTTTCAGATGCAACACCAAAAGCAAAATACATAAAAGAAAAATGGATAAGTAAGACTTTTCATGAACAGTTAAAACTTCTGCTCTAAGACACTAATGAAAAGACAAGTCACAGAATGGGAGAAAAATATGAAACATACATCTGATAGAGTACCATTATCCAAAATATACACAGAATTCTTAAAACTCATCAGTAAGAAACCCACCATTAAAAATGGTCAAAAGGCTGGAAAAGATATCTACCCAAAGAAGATATACAGATGACAAATAAGCATATAAAAAGATGCTCAAAATCAATTATCATCAGAAAATTACAAATTAAGACAATGAGATACTACTACACTCCTTTTAGAATGGCTGAAATCCAAAACGCTGACAATACCAAAGGCTGATGAGGATGAGGTTAATTTGTAGAGTCTTTAGGGGTTTCTATATATAATATGTCATCTGCAAATAGTGGCAATTTTAACTCTTCCTTTACAATCTGGATGCCTTTTATTACTTTTTCTTGCCTAATTGCCTTGGCTGCCTTACATTAAGTTTTATTTCTCTTTCTCTCAAGCCATTCAAACCACTGAAAGCCAGAAAGACATCATTCAGGACCACAAATACAATGGCTCCGTTTCTTTTCCACTCTGGAATGATAGAGGCAATTAAATTATACGTAATTCTAAGAGTAAAATCAACAGAACCCTTCCACACCAACCTCTGTACAAGTTTCTAAAAAAATTTTACCATTCTACAAAGGTACTTGGGAAAATAGCATAACATAGCCTGAATCCTCAAGAAGCTTGGTATGGCAATTATGAAAATGTACTTTGCAGGTCTCTCACTACAAGGAACATCATTGACCAATGGTGCCAGCTGTGAACTCTCAAAGCTATTCTGTTATTGGGGGCAAGCCAAGATTCCCATGGGCTGTTCCTAGCCATGGACTGAGCATGACAGACATATTTAATGGCATCCTTTCCCAGGAGACTCTGGATTCCTTTGACAGTTAAACCTTGGGTTGAGAATTCCCCTTTGGTTTTGCTGTAGCTTTCTTAGAACTTCACTGCAGTGTAAGGCTCTTCTTATCCAACCTGCCTTTGTCCTCCCCTGTAGCGTCTGCTTGATAACAAGTTTTCATGATCCAAACAAAGCTCCATATAGCATGACTAAAGATTACTATTTCTTTTAAGTTGTCTATCATTTTTATTAGGAAATAGATTTTCCATAAAAGACTTAAAACAGCTATACAAAAAGAAATAACTAGGTGCTTAAAAATAGGGTTACCATATTTAAGAGAAATAAAACAGAAAAAAATCCGAAGTGAATAGCAGTTTGTAGTAATTCAGATGCCTAAAACTTAGTTATAAGAAGTTTTAAAATTTAGAAAATGTTCTCATATACATTGCTTCATCTGACACATGCAACATGGAGAAAAAAGGGAGCAGAATAATACTTATTGAGTTCTTTTATGTACCATAAACATTGGTCTGGGGCTGTGGTCGGCAAATTGCGGCTCGCAAGCCACATGTGGCTCTTTGACCCCTTGAGTGTGGCTCTTCCTAAGACTTAGGAGTACCCTAATTAAGTTAATAACAATGTACCTACGTATATAGTTTAAGTTTAAAAAATTTGGCTCTCAAAAGAAATTTCAATCGTTGTACTGTTGATATTTGGCTCTGTTGACTAATGAGTTTGCCGACCACTGGGACTCTGGGGCATTGCTATAGTTGCAGCATCTCCCTTTTACAGATGATGAAACTGAGGCTCATAAAGTTACTAGAAACGCTCAAGCATGCAAAACTACCGGACAAAGGTCTTCTTTCTCCTGTGCTGTCTTCAGAATACCACTCAAAAAATAATCCTATCCCTAAGGATCCAAATCAGATGTTATCTCACCTCACTCTTCAAATGTTATATATTAAAAGTAGAGCTAGGGCACATGCCCGTGGTTGCAGGCTCCATTCCCAGTAGGGGGCATGCAGGAGGCAGCCCATCAATGATTCTCTCTCATCATTGATGTTTCTCTCTATCTCTCCATCTCCCTCTCCCTTCCTTTCTGAAATCAATAAAAATATATTAATTTTAAAAAATGTAGAGCTCTATTCACTCTCCATTCATAACGGGACAGTGACACTTCACATCTCCACCCCCCACATCCCAACCACACAAGTGAAACCAAGCAGGAGACCTGAAACCTATGACTTAATTCAAAGGAGAAGTGAAATTAATAGTTAATGATCACTAATTAATTAAAAATACAACTTACTGGCCGGGGCCGGTTTGGCTCAGTGGATAGAGCGTCGGCTGCGGACTGAAAGGTCCCAGGTTCGATTCCGGTCAAGGGCATGTACCTGGGTTGCGGGCACATCCCCAGTGGGAGATGTGCAGGAGGCAGCTGGTCGATGTTTCTCTCTCATCGATGTTTCTGGCTCTCTGTCTCTCTCCCTTCCTCTCTGTGGAAAATCAATAAAATATATTTAAAAAAAAAAATAAAATAAAATAAAAATACAACTTACTGATCTTCAAATTGGAAAAGCCAGCCTCAACAACCAGTGGTTTTTGGGATTGATTAACCTTCTCCCTCCTCTAATATCAAAGGTCTCCTACTAAGATACCTATCTGGATGGACATCAACCCTACACCACCATAATACATGTCCTATCAGAAGCACTTCCAAATTAGCTAAGTGAAGAAGTTTAATTTTACTTTAAGTAATCTGTCACAGTATGATGGCTCACCGGAGGTAGGGGGGGTGGGGTGGGGGGCAAAGCATTCAAATTGTAAGTAAACCCCTAATGATATTAAGCTTGTCACAGATATTCCTTCAAAAAATACACGCACCTCAGTGTCTTAGATATAAAGCTTACATGACTACTGATGTAGGGATAATTATTCTAGGTTTTCCTTTTATCTCTTACTAGAGGCCTGGTGCAAAAAAATTTGTGCACTCAGGGGGTGGAGGTCCCTCAGCCCAGCCTGTGCCCTCTCACAGTCTGGGACCCTCGGGGGATCACCACCTGCTGGCTGAGGCCTGCTCCCAGGGGATTGGGCCTAAGCTGGCAATCATATATCCCTCTGACAGCCCGGCAGCCTCAGGGGATGTCCACTTGCCAGCGTGGAGCAGGCCTAAGCTTCAGACATCCTTAGTGCTGCTGAGGAGGCAGGAGAGGCTCCCACCACCACGCTGCACGGGCAGCAGTCAGCCTGGCTTGTGGCTGAGCAGAGCTCCTCCATGTGGGAGCTTACTGACCACCAGAGGGCAGCTCCTGCATTGAGCGTCTGTCCCCTGGTGGTTAGTGTGTGTCATAGTGACCAGTCATTCCCATTCCTTCTGCTGTTAGGGTCAGTTTGCATATTACCCTTTTACTATATAGGATAGAGGCCTGGTGCTTGGGTGGAGGCGGGCTGGTTTGCCCTCAATGGTGTCTAGTATCAGGGTTTTCTATATATACTAGACACCATAGAGTACCTGCTTGGGTGCCTGGCCAGCCTGATTGAGGGGCTGATGGCTGTTTTCATGCTGCCTGCACCCCTTCAGGGTGGGGGTACCCACTGGGGTGCCTGGCCAGCCTGGATGAGGGGCTGATGGCTGTTTTCAGGCTGCCCGCACCCCCTTCAGGGTGGGGGTCCCCACTGGGGTGCCTGGCCAGCCTGGATGAGGGATTGATGGCTGTTTTCAGGCTGCCCGCACCCCCTTTAGAGTGGGGGTCCCAATGGGGTGCCTGCCCAGTCTGGGTGAGGGGCTGAGGGCTGTTTTCAGGCGGGCCAAGCCTGCAACTGAAGCTCCCAGTCTCTCCTTTTTTTCTTTTTTTTAATTCTGGGATTAATTTACCTTCTGTAATTGAAACTTTGTTGCGGCTCCAGCTCCAAGGCCGGTTGGCTGAAAGCAGGTACCAGGGGTTTGTTTAGCTTCTATAATTGCAACATTGTTGCTTAGACTGGAGCTCAGA